ATCTTTTAGGATTGCACTCTCTTTTCTCATGCTTTAATTTGAAGAATTTAGTCAAAAAAAAAGATGGAAACTATTTTATTCTTTTTTGGAGTAAAAAGATAAAATTAATTCTCACATTTATTATCTTTACTAGTGGTATTCCGGCGCATAGCGCTGGGTTCTTATTTTTTATTTTTAGTGAGTATAAAATTATTTGTAACAATAAAATTACCAATATCTACAGATAAATTATTACATCATGTGTGGGTTTTTTTAACTGATTTGAATGTTGTTGTTGGGAGATATTACATGTTGATGGTCGATACGAATTTCTAGCAAACATAGATTGAGTTATGGTGGTTTGTTCTTTTAGTGGTTAGTGATAAGTTTTCATTTTCCTAATGTATGAGTAAATTGCATGTGAATTTTGAAGTTTAAATTGTCGGCGATTTAGGGTGACTGATAAATGAGTGATAGTACACAAAAACATATTTATTTATCTGGGCTAAGTTTGACTTATTGTTATTTGAAGTTGAATGTTATGTTCCATATGAATGTAATATACGCCGTAGTTATTTTGTTGATTTACTATATATGTTCCCAGATCTTGATTTCCATGTATCTATTTTTTGTTGTGAATCATTTCTTTGTCTATTATCGTGTTTTTTGTCACATATGTTATTGTATTTGTTGCAATGTTATATGAGAGAATGAGACAGTTTCTTTTAGGACGTTATACATTTATCTTATTAAAGAGAAGTACAAATAAAAAATACCACTAAAACTTACAACTTTTAGAAATCAATATCACTGAAATATTAAATAATCTTAACTTCAAATAATCTTATATTTTATAATTATTACATAATTTCTTAAAATAATTATAAATAACATATAGTTAGGCAACAATAAAAGAAAACCTACACTATATTTATTTAATAGGTTTCAACACAATCATAATAAACAAAGTATTCTGAATTTAAAATAAAAAGTTTATTGCTAAAATCTTACCTTTTATTATTTTGTATATTTTCCTATAAATAGTATTCTAATGTAAATTCAATATTACAAATGTGAAATATTATAAAGTTTATAGAAACATATTTTAAATAGTATATAAAATAATTTATTATACATAAATATAGTTTTGATCGATAAAAAATAAAATAAAACATATTTGTGCGTATATACATAACATATCTAAAAATATAAGTGATACAATTAACGAATTATACGACAATTTATAATAATTAATATAAATTTTAAAGTTATTGTGCTTTAAAGATTTCATAGTAAATGATTATTTTTAAAATCATCACTTACACAAAATGAATATTTATTTATAAAAAATGTAAAAATGAAAACCCGCACACGATAAAATTTAAAATATAGATTATCACGTACAAAATATAAATATTCATTTATAAAAAAACGTGCATGGTAAAATTTTAAAATTTAGATCATCATTTCAAAAAATAAATATTAAATTATAATTAAAAACACACACGGGTGCGTGGATCAATTTCTAGTTTCAATTAAATGACCATTGATGTATAATTTCTTAACAAATTTATTAATTTGGTTTTATTTTTAAAACTATGTTGTATTTTCAAATTTAGGATGTACTTTATGTATTTTTTTAATCTCTTCACCTATGTAAATCTTAAAAGATTATTAATAACATTTTATAGTTATTTTAAAAAGACTTATATATTTAAATATCAATATATTAACATAATCAAATTTATTAATTATATTTTCTTTTTAAAAATATAATGTATTTTCTAGTTTATAATGTAATTTTGTGTACTTTTCAATCTCGTCACATATGTAAATCTGAAAATACTATTAATAATTTTTGTAGTTATTTAATATATATATATGTAAATACAAAAATTATTAAAATTATATATTTAATGAGTTGATATATATGAAATAAAAGATTCTCATAATTGTATCTAATGTGAAAAATTCAATAAAATTCAAATAAAATAAAAGTTTTTATTACTGAGTCTAAAAAATATTCAACAAATAATAGTATGTCAAGTGTCAATGTTTACCTTCTATGGAGAAAAAAATCAAATTTATCATTAAAGATTGGTTAAAACGAGAGTAAATGAACTTTTTTCATATTTTCTATTTTCTATTTTACTCTAACTGTGTTATACAATCACACTCTTTAACTCTAAAGATAAATAAAACAAAAGTACATCATTTCTCCACTTTAAAGAACTGTAAAATTTTACTCCACTTTTATAAAATTGATTCTCTTTTTTACACTTCATTGTTTCTACCATTTTTTGTTTCTACCATTTTACTCTATTAATAGCCAATCACATTCTAAAAATCAGAATAAAGTGAAGTCAAATCTATCTCATCTTGAATAAAATGGAATAGTTGACGCTAGCGGTATTATATATTTATCCTATTTTCACGTTTCTTTTCCACCTCTTTACTCTTTTATTTTAACCAATCACACTCTATAAATTCTATATGTATACATACGACCAACCGAAAACATTATTAATTGCAAATTTTGGATTATCGATGATTCTTGCTCCATTATTATAATAATGAAATACAATGCTATAGTAATTTAACTTGTATAGTTTTTTCTTGAAACTTATATGAGCTGTATAGTTTAGTAAATACATAATTCCATATGGAATAGGTTTTGTTTTAAGTTTTTAATTCTTCTCATAAAAAATTACATTATTCTAAATGTATCACATTAATTTTTATCATATCATATCATTTTTACAAGTTATATAAAAATACAGATTTATAAAAATAACAATTTTCGTCAAATTTTATAATATATATATATATATATATATATATTTGGTTGTATCAAATATTTTATTAAATACATATAGAAGTCTTACTACCTAAATACTTTTACAATTTAAAAAAACTGTTAATCAAATATTTACTTGCTGCAAATTATTTTATAAAAATAAGAAATACCATGGAACATCAATCTCAAATATTATGACATTATCACTAAATAAAAAAAATTTAATTTCTAATTGTATTAATTTCTTTAACATGGAGTAAGAATTACGTGAATCTCATAGGACAGTTAGGAGTGGTACAATCAGACGTTAATTTTCATAAAAATGTAAACTTGTAAACTGTATAATCTTTTATAGCATTCCTTATGGTTTGTAATAGCATAGTTATTCAGCGTTAGAAAGTTGTATCAATGTATTATTTACATTATTTTCTATCAAAATCTTACTATATTTTCTATCAAAGTATTATATTTTTAATAGTTAAATTTATATTAAAAATGATATATATGTAAATTAGAATTTTATTTCAAATTAAATTTTAATATTTTAAATTAAAAAAGTAAAATATTATGATATTATAAATACGCAAACAAATTTAATTTCTAATTATATTTATATATTTATTTATTTTATTTTTCCATCAAAATTACACTACTTTTTATCAAAATTACACCATTTTTTATCAAATCCACAATTTTCTCACAAATTCCAATTAATCGCAGTTGCACCGTCCGCACGGTAACTTCGCAAAAATATTTCACGGAGCGCTACTCTTAAAATGCAATTCTATACCATCACGTTTCTTTTTATCAACGAATGACGCATTTGGAAACTATTATATTTCCTTTCTCGTGTTATATATTAGGCACCACGTTTTTTCCATCAAATTAATATATAAACTAAAAAAGTATATAAACTCTCAACGTTATCTTGTTAAAAGGAGTGGGTATACCGTATATCAAAACGTGTCGTATGTTGATCTGTTTACTAGGCAAGTGGAATGCGAGTTGAGTTCTGCAGTCTACTAGACGCTTTCACTGGAACATAAGTAACGAAGCTTATTTGTCTGAAAATCAGTAGCAAAAGGTCCGATGTAGTCGTTACCTACTTTTGTCTCACCATCCATAATATTGTATCGAACCTTGAATAATATATATAGAATTTAAACCTAAAAGAAACAAGCAAGGGAAGTTTATGATATTAGTATTGTTCTTTTTTGGACAAAAACAAAAATATTTATGACTTCTATTTACAAAAGAAAATCCTTTTTTTTTTGTCAACTACAAAAGAAAAACTAAGATTGCGATCTTAGTGTTGTGTTTATTTACGTTGATATTCGTAAAACTATTATGGATGTATGACTTCTATATATTTACAACCACCCGCTTGATGATATTTTTTTTTTAAATATATATATATATATATATATTTTTTTTTTTTTTTTGCTGCATATTAAATTGAGGGATTATTTATTTTTCAAAAAAAATTGAGGGATTATTTCTGTATCTTAAAGTAATTTCAAAAACTTATAAAGTATTTTACCAAAAGCCTTTAAAAAGTATTTTACACAAAAATGTCATTGTCTAATCATGGTAACATGATATATTATATGGTTTTATCTCGGGCCAACTTGTACAATAATGTGACTGATGTCTATAATTTTGAATGTCAGTTTTCTTTTACAGATAAACAATGCAAAATATATTTTTGTTCTTATCACCTTCTAACTATGCTGATCCCAGTTTAAAATCATGGTTCATGGGTCCAAGTTAAACTTTCCTCTTAATTTTCTTTTTAAAAGATGTTGCTACTAATGAACTCGTCTTGTTTCATTGACTTTTCATGCCTTTATTAATATTTACAATTTTATAAAAGGATATCATTTTTCTTTTGTCTTGCTCCTCTCAAGACAAACCCACCAAGCCAAAGAGATAGATATTCCCTTTCTAACGCCAAGACAAAGGTCCATAAATATCCCCTTTCGACACCTCTCTCATTCACCATGCAATTTGTCTTTCCTTCACACCAAGAGTTCTCTCCAACAAGTCCATAAAGTCTTTCTCTGATCTTGAGATTCCTTGCAACTTTCTTGGTAAACTTCTTCTTCTGCGCAAGTTTGATCATCCGGCGAAACAAACTTCTTGATCTGTCAATCAATTGAAGCTGAGTATTAAGTTCAAATAACAAAATACTTCTTGATTTTGACTTCTTTGTCTGAAGTTCCAGATGGCAATAGGAATCTTTGGATTGATCCCAAGCTCATCACCAGACGAGCTAAGGAAGATTCTTCACACACTTTCAACAAAATGGGGAGACGTGATTGAGGATCTTGAAAGTCTTGAAGTGAAGCCGATGAAAGGAGCGATGACTAATGAAGTGTTCATGGTGAGTTGGCCTAGAAAAGAAACGAATCTCCGATGTAGGAAACTTCTTGTTCGTGTCTATGGTGAAGGCGTTGAGCTTTTCTTTGACAGAGAGGACGAGGTTCGGACTTTCGAGTTCGTGGCCCGCCATGGCCACGGTCCAAGACTCCTTGGCCGTTTCGCCGGCGGTAGAGTCGAGGAGTTTATCCATGCCCGGGTAACTTAATTTCTCTTGTCTGAACTTTTATTTATTTATGAACATCTTGTTTCACTGATTGGTCCACGACATCTACGAGATATATTGATTCGCTGATATAAAGTGGGCTGCCCTTTTATGTGGTTTAGAAACCTGAAAATCCCAAACCGAGATTCTACCGATTTAGTAGTGGTTCAATCCTGTTGTGTTTTTGTTTGGTTATATTTTTTGTATCATTTAGATTAGTTCGGTTTAAGAAATATTGGAACCGGTTTGATATATTCTAGGTATGCTAGGAAATTCGCGTGTAGATGACATCTCGACATCAAATCAAACATCATTATAACCGATCTTCTTAAAATCCGAGATAAAGTGCTAAAATCAATTATCCAGTTTTAAATCAATTTAAATTGATCTAAATTCATTTAAAATGGTTTGTATCGACTAAATTAAATATTGTAAACTCTATAAATGTGTCTAATTTATTTTTATATATCTTCTTTTCATAAATGAGCAAAGTAATTTATAATTAAATTTTATACTTTAAAGTAACTAATATATATTATACAATATATATTGATTATACAATATATATTAAATAATAAAATAATTTATTTATGTTTAGGCGGTGTTCAAGTACTGGTTAATATTTTACAAGTCGTATAGTTACCGTTTAGTTATCTTTTTAAAATTGTATCTTCTTGAACATTGACTTTCATATATAAACACAAAAGAAATAGAAGAGTTTCAAGCCCACGGGCTATAGCTGCTGGTCTTAACCCATTACAGAATCCACATCTTATATATTAAAACAGAAGTCATAATTATATCATGTGTGATTTTTTTTAAAAATGGATTATTACTAGAAAATTATGTTACATTAACTCTCTAATAATTATATCATTATAATATCTTATGAAAAATCATATCTATAATAACAAAGATACGCTTAACAATTTGGTTTTGGTAAATTACCCCACATCTTCCAACTTAGTCACGTAAAATATGTCAATAGATATAAGTTTAGGAATCTTCTATTATTTATAAGGAAATATGTCAATAATAGTTAAATGCATCCACAATATATTAACAAAAATCACAGATTAGTAATATGGAATATTTATATACCATACCAAAATTTACACGCTATATATATCAGATAAATTTATTTCGACGAAATTTTTAAAAATTATATTGTTTTAAAAAAAGAAATTTTTTAAAAATTCTTTTAAATAAAATTCTTTATAATATTAATTTATGAATCTATAAGTTTAGTTTTTAGCAAAAATTCTTCGAAGTTTATATCATCTTTGCAAATTAAAGTATACTAATATTTAATCAAGCTTTATTTATATTAATTTATCTAAATGAATTACTAATCTAACAAACAATAAAATATAGAAGAAGAAACAAACACATGTTTGAAAAACATATATAATATAGAAAATTTGAAACAATCTATTTGATTAAAACACGTATTATATTATATTATTATGTTTGAAAAAAAATTAATATACATATCATAGATATTTGATTACTATAATATATACCAATTTACAAGTGAAAAAAATGTTTATATAACTAACTATAAACGAAAACAAACACCCGCGCGGTTGCGCGGGTCAAAATCTAGTATTTTTCTAAAATTGCATTTTATAGTAAACATTTAATGAATTTTCAAAGAAACAGTTTTTTTTTTTTCGGTTCGGTTCGCTTTCACGTTGTTATATGATATTTAGTGAAACCATATTGGTCTCTATTTTCTTTGTTTATTTTTAGAGCGTTTCTGGTCTTGTTCCTATAATTGGTTTGCCTTTCAATGCCGGCGTTAAACCAGAATAAATAAAACCGAGATATGCCCGGTATAGCTTTATACCGATTGAGTTGAAAATCTTGAGTTACTAACTCTTGCATCCGTAACTTTGGACAGACACTATCAGCAACCGATCTTCGTGATCGGAACATATCAGCTTTAGTGGCTACTAAGCTAAGAAAATTTCACAGCATAAACATTCCTGGAGATCAAACTGTTCATATCTGGGACAGGATGAGGTAAGAAACTTCAAATGTAAAAGTTTTTTTTTCCCGAATAAATGTTTAGATTAATATTCATTGGAAGAAAATAGGACATGGGTAGGACAAGCCAAGAATCTGTGTTCAGCTGAAGATTCCAGAGAGTTTGGTCTAGACAACATTGAAGATGAAATCAACTTGCTAGAACAAGAAGTGAACAATGAGTATCACCTACAAGAAATTGGGTTTTGTCACAATGATTTGCAGTATGGTAATATCATGCTTGATGAAGACACCAATGCCATTACTATTATTGTAAGTCTTACTCATAAAACATTGATTAACATGAATCGTTTAGCTTTTATGTATAATCATTTGTTGAGTTGTAGGCAAATGAGTTTTTTTTTGGACAGGATTATGAGTATGCAAGTTACAATCCAGTTGCTTATGACATAGCAAACCACTTCTGTGAGATGGTAGCAAATTACCATTCTGACACTCCTCATACCTTGGACTACACTCTCTATCCAGGTACAGTGATCAATCAAAGAAATATTTATGAATCCGTGACCAAGAAAGTGGGTTTTATTTTGTTTGAATATTGGTTTTGGAATTGCAGGAGAAGAAGAAAGGAGGAGATTCATCTGCAACTACATCACATCTTCAGGTTTAAAGTTTGTTCCTTTTGTTTAAAAAAATTTTCCTTCCTATGACTCCAGCTAAAACTTGATTTTAAACAGATGAAGAACCAAGAGAGGAAGACATAGAACAGCTTTTAGATGATGTCGAGAAGTATACATTGGCGAGCCATCTCTTCTGGGGTTTATGGGGAATCATATCTGTAAGCTAATTCTCTCTCTCTATCTGTATAAACTTCAAAGCATTACAGAAGCTTATGATTATGTGTACAATGTGATTTGTGCAGGGCTATGTGAACAAGATTGACTTCGATTATCTCGAGTATTCAAGGCAGAGATTCAAACAGTATTGGCTTCGAAAGCCCCAACTTTTACCTTTCTACCCATCCCATAAGTAAAGCATTTATGATGGATCTATAATATAGCTACTATGCCAATGTTACCAACCATGTGTATTTCTTCTGTTCTGATACTATGTAATGAGTACAAGATATATATGTGTTACAAAAAGAAAAAGAAAAAAAAAGAGCACAAGATATATATAAATCATCAAGCATAATAATACTTCCACAGAAAGTTTAATATTCGAATCTTATTCCATTATAATATTCACATCTTATTCTAGAGAAGAAACAATGTCGAAAAATAGATAGAGATCTAAGGATCAAGAGCTGCCATGGAATGCACGGTATCGATGACAGAGTCTATAAGGTCATGAGACTTGCTTGTACCTGCAAGTGTCAGGTGTTTAGGTGCTTCTGCTCTATCGAAATAGAATGCACCAGAGACAAGCTTCTCTTTAGGCTGAAGTGCTAGCCAAACGACTGTGTCTGCTCCTTCTTCGCTGGTTCTAAGCTTACCAGAGAAACTGATTCACAAGTTTTAAACTTTCTTTTAGCACAAAAGGAGATGTTTTGCTTATACATATATAAAGTAAGTTATTCGTTGGAAAACTTCGCTTACGATTCTTTGAAACTAGGCAAACTCCTGGCGACACCAGGTGTCTCAGCCCAGCCAGGGTGCATTGAGTAGAAATCTATGCCTTTAATCTTGTACTTATCTGCCCATTTTTCTGTTAGAGCCACCTATATCATTTGCATACAAAACAAACTTAGAAAAACCAGACAAAAAAAAAAAATGGATCTTCACTTAGTAGATTCTGATTTTTAACGACCTGGATTCGTTTGTTCCGTGCGTACTGTAACACTCCATCGAATTTTTCACCACTAAACTGTAGAAAACCCATACGCAGCGCGAGTTGAGTGATGCAAACAGTTCCAAAGAGGTTACACAAACAAAAGGTGTGACATGAATGTCAGATTGGTTACCTGAAGATCTGTAGTAAGTGGCGATGTGTACATTCCACCAGAGGAGACGTTGATGACTTTGGCGTCAGGTGACGCTTTCTCCAACAGCGGAAGCATCAGCTCTGTCATTGTGTATGTCCCAAGTACATTCACCGCAAAATTTAACTCAAACCTAATACAACAGATGATCATCATATGGAACATTAATCAAGGTAAAATGAAGCTGTGGAATGCTCAAGAAAGATAACTGAGACCAACCCTTCAGGTGTAGTAGAACGTTTGTTCTCAAGCAAGCCAGCATTATTAACCTAAAAACAAAAATCAGAAACAAACAAAAGTTCTAGAATATCTGAGTTTTAGTGAAATGTTTTATTCAAGCAGCAGTGAGAAGAAAAGACGACATTACCAGCACATGAACCGGAACATCCTTGGAAGCAAAACTCGAAGCAAATGATTTTATATCATTGACAGAAGACAAATCACAAACCTAAACAAAGAAGCAAAGCTAAATGAGTTCGATATCTTCCAATATATGCATAGAACAGAGTATTCAAAAACATACTTCAAGGTAGACATTCTGGTTTCCTGTAGAGTTTTGAATCTTAGAAAGAGCCTCTTGTCCTCTTTCCTTGTTCCGACACACCATGTAAACAGTTGCTCCACTAAAAAACAAAAAGAGAAAGACTTTATATACATTGTGACAAAATCATATCCTGTTTTTTGTTTTTCCATAACTGAGACAAAGCTTTACCGTGAAGCAAGACCTTCTGCAGCTGCGTAACCAATACCAGAGTTAGCTCCAGTGACCACACAATTCTTTCCTTGTATTTGTATCTGCATATCTTCAGGTTTAAACTTTTTTGAATGGTCTCTGCCACAAACAAATGACATGAATTCAAATGGGTGTCTTCAGTTAAGGTTAATACAATAGGTGAAACAAGATGAAACTGTTTGAAACACTTACAGGAAACCATTCTTGGTGAAATTCATATAGCCATAAATCCCGAAAGCGGTTGATCTCCATGTCTATATAGGCAAAAGTACAAGTTACTCCTACACTAGACAAGAAACAAACAAACAGAGATAAGTGAATCTAAGGGAAAACAGACATACCTTTAAGAGGAACATTTTGGTTTTGTTACGGAAGAAGATGATGCGAGTTCCTGAGTTGGTGGAAAGAGAGAGATGTTAGATTAGTAATGGTGCGGAGAAGTTACAAGTCTTGTGAATCCTCATTAGTCAAATCGTCGATTCAGGTTTCTCGGTAGACGTTGCGCCACGTAGAGATAGCCTCGCCATACAAAATAGTAACGGTGACGTCGATGGTTCAAACTTGCAAAAAAAAAAAAAAGTTTTAATTTTATTTTTAAACTAGATATGAATCCTTACAAAATCACTGACTTTATTTGATGTTTTTTTATGAGAAAAGATTGAAAAACTTTTGAACATCAATTTTAAGTTTTTCTTTTTTATATGTTCATTTTAGACTTATTAATAAATAATTAATTTGGTGTGTTGTGCTATCACTGATACATAATTTTGTCTTTTATATTTTGTTGGTGTAAGTGATGTGTTGTCTTCAATACCTAATCCCGTTTCATTTTATTTGTAATTCTAGATTTTTACACACAAATTAAGGAAACATTTAATTTTACATATTTTCAAGATAAAAACACAATTAACTATACACCTAACAATTTTTCAACCAATAGAAAAATAGAATATTATATAAAACTAATAAATTTTACCTCGAAACGTTAAAATTATACTTAATTTGTGACAAAAATTTAAGCCTAGAATGACAAGTATTCTGAAACGGAAGGAATACTATTTAGCATAATATTTTCCAATTTTGAAGTGATTTCATATTTTTTAAGAGTGAATATAGAACAATTGCAATAATAGACTTTTGCCTCATTTCTTGTGATATAATTGACATAGTTTATCTAAAACACCGTGTAAAAATATTGTTTTTAGCCAAAATCTATTCTATTAAAATAGAGTCATTCTTTTTATCTACCGATACAAGTTGTCATTTAAATTTGGACCAAATCTAGAGTGTTACAAATAATACAAGTTATATAGTTGATTGAACCGTATTACTTAAATTAAACCGGCGGTTATTTATGTAATAGATTTTTGGGCTTATTTTTGTTTTTATGACATTTAATTGTTTGCTTTTTGGGCTTATTATTAAAGAAAAACTCCAAAAACATTAAATAAAATTTCCACCTTAATGGATCAAAAATCAATTACTATTTTCAGGCCCAAAAATATTTAATATTTTCAACAAAACAAAATTATCTATTATAAATCACTTATTTAAATCATGTACTTTAAAAAATGTTAATATTTTTTAGCCCAAAAATATTTAATATTTTCAACAAAACAAAATTATCTATTATTAATCACTTATTTAAATCATGTACTTTAAATAATGTTAATATTTTTTATATTAAATAAAAATCACTCTATCTTGATAAATTTTAATGGTAACTTTTAAATAATTTTTTTTTTCTTAAATAATTTACAGATTTAAAAAAAAAATGTAAGCAAAATCAAAAACCAAATCTAAAAACTAAAATCCAAAACCAAAAGCTGAAAACGCAGGTTATATTTTATGTTTTTTTTAGTAACAAAATAAACAATTTCAAAAATTTTAGAAAATTATTTTTTCATCTTTTCAGTTTTAAATTACATGTTCGATTAATTGAGATTTGTTTGTTGGTAATATCAATTCAAACTAACTCAGCGGGTCCAAAAATTAAAAACTCAAACCAAAAGCTGAAAATCAAAAATAGAAACTTAAAAACTAAAAACCAAAAACCAAAATTTAAAACAAAATCTAAAAATAAAAACTGAAACTAAAAACTAATGAAAAACAACTATCACCACAAATTTTGGTAAACTAATTTTATACGAAAACATTCTTTAAATTAAAACAAAACGCAATTATATAAATTTTTAATCATAAAAAATTTCCACGCTTGAAAAGCGCGGGTCAAAATCTAGTTATTTTCTTACATCTGATTCTGTCACGTAAAATACATTTCATGAAATTTTATCAAAAATATTTAAACGCAAATTGATGGCACAATAAATAATGAAATTTGTTCTTTTAAGTAATTCATAAAGCATGGTATTATGATTTTTTTTTTGGGGTTTTTGCAAATTTGACCCAAAACTCATGGTCAAACACAAAACTAACTTCTTCTTTTATCTCATCTTGTTTTTGTCCTATCCACCCCACATCTTCATTTTATTTACGAAAATGCCATTAATTTTTTTTTTTACTTTTTTTTCGAAAATGGTCTTTTTACTCTCTCAACCTCATCATCTTCAAGTATTTACAACATTGCCATTGCCATGAATACTCCCAACAACCTTGTACAACCCAACAACCTTATACAACCAAGGTTTGAAGCTTTTAATGCACTTAAAATCGATACTCATACTCTCTTTCTCAATTGTTATGAACTAAAAACAACATCTCCTTTCACTTTGTCTCCATATTCATGCCAAAAACCCAAGCTTTTGATAGCAAATTTTTTATGGTTGATAGAGCCATTTAGGCATACAATTGTTGGTGGGTTACTTTCCTTCGATGTTCTGGATGGTTTGAGAAGACTCTGTGTGCAAAGAAAGTCATCTCACCTAGTTTAAGGTTTGAAATTGAATTTTTTTCCAGATCTCTTCGCGTAGAAGACTTACCCGTAAGTCGTCTGGATGTAGAAGACTTACGGATAAGTCTTCTGGTCAAACGGACGACTTACTTCTAAGTCGTCCAGCTTTGTTTGTTAAAAAAAAACTCCAGACGACTTAATTATAAGTCGTCTAGATAAAACGGTCTACTTTTTCTTTTGACCGAATTGTGTCAGATATTTGACTTTTTCTGGACGACTTAAAATTAAGTCGTCCCTGGGAAAGTTAAAATTTCAATATTTTATTAAATCTAGACGACTTAATTATAAGTCGTCTCAGGTTAGTTTTGCAATTCAAAAATAAAACTTNCTTTTGACCGAATTGTGTCAGATATTTGACTTTTTCTGGACGACTTAAAATTAAGTCGTCCCTGGGAAAGTTAAAATTTC